ATCGGCTGATTGAGATCAGCAGGATGGCATGATCATTGCATGTTCTCTTGAAAACTCAGATGAGAATGTGTTAGCTGTAAATTGTCGGAAAAGCAGTAGGACCAAGCTATAGAAAAATGTTAGAAGATGAAAGTTGGAAATATACTGTCTGTCTAGGGAGCTCTCATCTGTCTAAGATAAATATCCTCATTTTGATATTGACTAAAGGAGAATGTGATTCCACTCCACACCTCAAATCATGCCAACATCCACACAGTCCAGGATTGATTGAGTTATTGAGTGGGCGTTTATTCAAATTAGAAGGGGGCGCTTATTCAACGGGGCGCTTGAGGAAGTTTCACGTTAGAAGGGGCGTTTATTCGAGAGGGGCGCTTACTCAAACGGGGCGCTTATTCACGCGAGTACGGTAGGCATAATTATGATCTGTTCATTGTGCGTTCGATTTTGATAATGATAGGAATGATTTGAGCACTGCATGATCAATGTGCGCCAAAATAAATAGATATTACATAAAAAGTATGATGCCGTTTATTTGTACAATAGGCCTACTGCTATTGTTTCTAAAATTTGGTGGGGTAATGTAGTTCATGTGGTTATCATTGGAAAGTTATTGATCTATTAGTAAATTCTATAATCTGGTTGTTGTACGCATATAGACATATTTTTTACATTTTCATTTTATTTCTTTATTCATGTTCTTTGCAATTCATGACAAAGTAAACTCAACCATACATATTCAAAAACAGAGCGACGAAAAGGACCTCCACGAAACTCTTAGGAGCTTTTAAAATGGAGACCCGGTGTTAAAATTAAAGTTTGTTTAGACATAAAGACAGTATATAACTGCCTAACTACAAAGATACACCTCTCACCCCAACAGTCATATTTATTTGATTTACATTTATTTTGAACATTAAACTAAACAACCACTACTAATTCCACCTTAATTCGGAGTCGCTCAGCTCAGTCTTACATGTGTAAATGTTCGTATTGACACTGTGTTTTTAGCATTCTTTTAAAGTAATAACCTATCAGACATTTACATGAACAACAAAACAAATGGAAATATATTTATCTTAACTATTGTTTTCAGCAAAGTGGCGTATCCATATTTTAAAGAAAGGGGAGCTGATGTAATGAGAGTCCACATCACGTCAGTACCATCGTGGTTGGCGGTGACGTAAAAATTTCAGTATTTTATACCACTGGATGCCCCAAAATGGAACTTACGTTACCTATTAAATAATAATGTTTTTGACAAATTGAGTAAAAAAAAAAAAACCCCAATTAATTAATTAGGTACCCGAAAATGGAATTTAAGTACTTACTATTCTAAAAACTACCATATTCAACTGAGCCCCACTATGGTTACGGCTCAGGTGAGAACATTTTGAGAAGTTGAGACTCGTTAGATGCACAAAAAAGCACTTGAATAATACAAAATTTACGATATCCACCTGAGCCCCACCATGGTTTTGGGGTGCAGATGAGTCAATTGCAAGAATTTGAGACTTTATAGATGCCCCAAAACAACACTCGGATACTTAAAATTTATGAAAATTTTAAACCATCTATCTCAGCCCACCATGGTTAAGGCTGAGGTAAAACAATTTTAAGAATTAGAGACTTTTAGATGCAGGAAAATAGCAAATACATAAAAACAACAAAAATTACTATATCCACAAAGGCATATCCCCATCAAGAAGGTGAGAAAATGTAAAAAATTGGGAAATTTTGATGCCGGAAAATGGCAATATCATACATAAAAACTAGGAAAATTACTATATCCACCTGAGCCCCGTCATGTGTGTGGCTGCATGAGATAAAGTTGGAGAATGGCACTTTAACACTTAAAATTTATGTTGGTTATTTTTTAACATTTGAAAAGGGGATGTCAACCGGATGCAACTTCCAAAAAACTTGACAGCGAAAGGACGCTACCAATAAACAATCAACGAACTACCGGGTTTCTGGGTTGATTTCCAAGGTACTACATGGCTGAACTATTTTTAACTTTAGGGTTAATTGGTAAAAATCGCACACAAATCATACGACGTCACTGACAACGCCGGGGACGGCAACTCTATTTTGGGATTAATTTTTCGAATAAAGTTATACTAAATAACTTCTAATCACAACCTATTGTCTTCAGTTGTCTTTGTTGGTCATTCAACTGTCGTTTTATCTATTTTTTCGGTGATATTTTCGTCGGAAGGTATCAAGATGATAAACAAGTTTCATTAGACTAAATTCTTGCTTATGCCACTGCGGTGGGGTCCAGGCAGCCACGGATATTTGATGAATCATGGCGAATTTTTATTACTTATTTGATAGGCATCGAGCTACTATAATAAGACTTCATGTAGGCTATGTTTTCTAATGTCGAAATCAGCTTCAAAAACCAAAACATTTTGAATAAAACAAGAAAGAAAGAGTTTGCAATGCAACCATCTAATTTCCTTACAAATCCTCTTTTTTTAAAGTGAAATTCTACATTATGGAAATTTTGCACGAAATCTGTCAACCACGATGTCAAGGTCGAGGTTGCTTCCCCTATCGCGATGTATTCCAAGCATCATGATGCTATCCAAACGAGCATTTTGTCCTAACAGAACGCAAAATATTTTAAATTAGTGTCATTGAACTATTATTATTATTATTATTATTATTATTATTATTATTATTATTATTATTATTATTATTATTATTATTATTATTATTATTATTGGCGCCACCACTGGATTCAATAATCTGCTGTATACCTTGCTTTGCCATTTTTGATAGGTGAATAGGACCGAATTGTAACTTTAGAGCACTGGTGAATATTTATTACTTCGTAATTTGCATAACGAATTATTAAACCATGCTTCCTACGATGTCATTATTTAGGTATAATGGCACTCGACTTCAACGGTTATTTAGGCCTATATATAATTAGAAGTAAAAACCATTATTTAGATACAATGACCTTGACACAATAACACGTGTGCATTACATATACTCTAATGAGTTTGAAATCCAAGCATTATGGTTTTGCGACAGCTATTATTTATTTATAATGAAAAATGAAATGTAAAAGCAGTTATTTATAAATAATGAGTTTGAAGTCAATTCGTTATTTATATATAATGAAATCAGTGAACTTATTATATATAAATAATTGTAAGTTACTTTTCATTATTTATATATAATGGTTTTATATATATAATGGTTTTTCATATTTTATATATAATGGAATCAGTAAACTTATTATATATAAATAATTGTAAGTTATTTTTCATTATTTATATAATAATGATGTGTTTCCCCTTCCTTATTTATATATAATGATGCCAGTAACCTTATTATATATAAATAATGTTTGGTTAGCCTTTCATTATTTATATATAATGTAATCAGTAAACTAATTATATATAAATAATGAAACGTTAACGCAATTATTTACATATAATCCTTTAGACGTAAATGCACTATATATAAATAATGGGTGATCTAGTCAATTATGTTAAATAATGAATTATATATAAATAATTGTGTTAAATAATAAATTTACACTTGGCGCCTCATACATTTTGTAATCCCTAGCTACCCGAAACGAAATAGTAGACTCCAAACAGACGTAACACGGTTATGGAGATCGAACATGACCGAAGCCTGTTTTGGCATACTTTATATACCTGGATATTATTGAAAAAATTTATTTTATGTTTTGGGTGTTTTTTAATAATGTTGCGGCGCCAGTGTCTGAAATCTTGTGGGAAACAAGGTTCCCGACACGAGCAAATTGGGCGTGGTCGGGTGTCAATTAAAATGTTTCGAAATTGGTCCAGAAAACATGACAATTTAGGGGCTTGAGAGGCTTATTTAATTGATGTTACATGCAGAGTCTACTAATATGTAGAAAATATATATACTTTTTTTTTATCTCCGACGAATTCTTATATCCTGCGGGGGAAAACTGGGGAGGGGGAAGAAAGAAAATTTTAGCACCACCTCTCAATAATAATAATAATAAGTTTGATCTTGATTAAGCGCATTTTGCTGAAAGCCTCAATGCGCTTTACATTAGAAATAAAAATCCATAGTTAAGTAAAAATCAATTAAGCAGATGTGTTAAAGCCCCATTCCCGGCAAAATTTCAATTTTTAAGAAAAATCTAATTTTTGTATAATCTTATAAAGATTTATAAATATAATACGGAATTGCTAGTTTAACTGAATTTAGAAGTGTTATAAAGATTTATAAATATAATACGATTCCTAAGAATGAAAAAAATGTAAAATAAGACTGAAATTTGATTTTTTGTGTTCCACACAAAAAATAAATGCGGATGAATTTTTCATTTTGATTTTGCGATAGGTCGTGAGATGAAATAACGTAGGCGCCGAAAACATTAGCCTATCCAGTGCTGCTAGGCTAGGCCTAGCCTTACCTCGATTTAGGTTCTGTTATCACACATAAAAACGGCCGAAATGATATTTTCCGTTGCTAGTATTGACACTTGTGAAATATAATATTTCATAGGAATTATTTCAAATTTGTTAAAAAAAAAAAAAAAACTGATTCTGACTGAGATTTTGACACTTAAACAAACATATCTCAGCCTAACCGAACGACCGCATTGTGCGAGATGCGAAGTACAAAAACTAATCTCATTAGAGAGGGCACA